TTTGCTAGATTTTGGCATTTAGCAACTGACATACGGTTTAATGTGAAGACAAACAACAACAACAACCAGCCTTATGCCAACTGGAAGAGTGAATCCGGCAACAATCAGGCATGGCTTTCATTTTCTCAAGATAAGGGATGGGTGGAGTGGGGCTGGGTACAAAATAGCGTCTGTTTGCTCGAGGAACCTTGGGCGATTTTGTGGTCGTGGCATAAATTCCGCCCATCCTCCTTCACAGCGTGCAAGTGCTGCTACGGTCGGAGTTTTGATGTTATACTTGGAGTTCTCGACAGTGTTGTAAACCGTGCTCCAGGAATGACGTTGGCATTGAGGCCTGATGGTGTATTTTGAAGCACGACCAAAGACCATACCAATTGGTCCAAAAAAAAACTCCCGCGCGCGCCTTGCATTTTTTTTTTGTTTTACAGGGTGCACGGACACGTATGTTCTCGGTTGCGCAATCGAGAAATACCCCGAGCTGAACCAAGTGTGCAACAATCTCCTCCCCGAGGGCGCTCAGCGAGAGGACGACGGGACCGGAGAGGGTGTTGTCTGCACAGGAGGTGCCGACCGCCGGGCTGCCGCCAAGCGGGAGGGCGCCAGGCTCAACGAGCAGAACAGGCGGGGAAAAAAGCCAAAAAATAAGGGGGTGGGGCAAAGCGTGGCAGAGGCTACGTCCGCTGCCATGAAAACCGCACTCAACGATATTGAGTCACTGCTGGAAAAGGTTGGCGGATCAGAAAAATTAGNAGCTGATAGAAGTGGGGGATAGGGGCCAGAGGGGCAGAAGACAGAGTCTTTCGATGGGAGACAAATATATACATATATTTTGGGTAGGTGCGCATCTAACACGGACGGCAGGGTTGTTTACCGTGTGCAGTACTTCGTCCGTGGTGGTTTTAGTCCGTCTGGTCATGTTCGTGTGGGAGAACAAATATATGTAGATATATAATTGAAATAGATGTGGATGACAGGTGTAGAAGTGCTGTAACCATTGTTGTTGCACATGCAAAAGTAGGACCAAGATACGATCCGAACGGAGGATCTTACTGATGGTTGATCAGCAAGAGACACGACTGTGGATGCGTCCCTCTTGGCGCCACCTGTTGTTGTTGTTGTCTTCACATTACCTGTGGAGCTTGGGAATCCGAGACCCTCGGGCTTGGTCTCCCTCGCCCCTTCGGCGGCACTCTCTTTCTTGTCTCTCTCTTCTGAGACCCTCTCCTCTCTAAATCTCGACGAAGAGAACTGCCAGCCCTTAGTAGTGGGAAAAGACTACTGCGACCTGGACTTCCCCCCCTAAGGAGGGAAGCCTGTGTTCTCATTGGCGTCGACGAATTAAAAGATACTCTGCTGGTACTGGAGGTAGAGGTAAGAGATGCCGAAAAAATCGGCCGTGCAACGCGCTCGCGATAAGGCGGACGCGGCGGAGGAGAAGAGGCTCAAGGAGCAGCAACGCCGCCTTGAGCTAGAAGCTGAGCTAGAGCAGCTCAAGCAACGCCTCGCCGCCAAACACCCGACAACCCCGCTAGCACGTGGGACACCCTCGNTCGGCGGCACTCTCTTTCTTGTCTCTCTCTTCTGAGACCCTCTCCTCTCTAAATCTCGACGAAGAGAACTGCCAGCCCTTAGTAGTGGGAAAAGACTACTGCGACCTGGACTTCCCCCCCTAAGGAGGGAAGCCTGTGTTCTCATTGGCGTCGACGAATTAAAAGATACTCTGCTGGTACTGGAGGTAGAGGTAAGAGATGCCGAAAAAATCGGCCGTGCAACGCGCTCGCGATAAGGCGGACGCGGCGGAGGAAAAGAGGCTCAAGGAGCAGCAACGCCGCCTTGAGCTGGAAGCTGAGCTAGAGCAGCTCAAGCAACGCCTCGCCGCCAAACACCCGACAACCCCGCTAGCACGTGGGACACCCTCGGAACGCGTGCCGGCTTCACGCCCCTCGGGTGATAGCAGCCTTCTTGAGGAAAAGTCGGATGACCCTGAGGGTGCCGACCGCGCGAGTGCCACCAGCGGCGGTGAAGATGGCGGTGATTCCGGTCAGCGCGACACGTTTGTCGACGGCGAGAGTGGAGACGAGCATGAGGATGTTCCTCCTGCCGCCGGCCGGGAGCAGCAGGGGCGTTGGGCCGATGAGGAGGAACTTGAAGATGAGGAGCCCGAGGTTCTTACATCTCCGGCTGGCGCACCCATTGTGGAGATGCTGAAACAGCTGTTCGATAAAGTTATTAGATATATTGGGGGTACTCGTAGCATAGTATGACGGTGGAGATGTTATGT